AACGATGTCAACACTTTCACATACCATCCCGCTGTCAGGGTAGGAGTACTCATGAGCTACTCGACAAATTAGTTCTCGCATACGTCATGCCGAAATCGAGGAAGATCTCTCGTGGTAATCAGTGACGGCGTCAGCTAGAAAGCTACAGAATTCGAAGATAGAGAGAAAATCGCTCAGCCGAAGAAACACAAGCCGCAGGATAAGCTAATGTTTCTCAACAGCGACGAACTCGAGCTAATCCAACGGCAACACAGATTGCAGAAGTATATTACTCCAAAGTCATGCGCCAAAGTCTCTCACATGGAGATTCCTATGAATGCCTGTAGATACAGCAACATAAAGATTGGCGCGAAGCGCCCGCACGGCTGGTTGTAGATAATTCGCAGAAGCAGGGTCTTATAATTGATGGGAGCTTACAGGATGCGAGAAAAAAAAGGCTGAATTTTTTAACGAGTCAACTCATTTTATTCGTTCAGACGCTCCCCGGGAATCAGTGAATAACTCCTGCGATCTGAATGTCTTCCAATACGGGCAGTTTCACCACCACGGGAGCCTCAACCGGCACGGCCACAGCGAGAGGAGCGATCGGCGCTGGGGCAAGGGGAACGGCGGGGGGAGGCAAGAGAGGAGCCACGGGCGGAGGAAGGAGAGGAGCCACTGGTGCAGGCACGAGAGGGAGCACTTCAGCTTCCGGGAGGGCAGCTGGTGGGAGGGCAGGCTCGTCGACAACTTTGTTCGTGTTCTGGAGGATGATCGAAGGGCCCCTCCTGTAGTTCGGTGGAGGTGTGGTCAGAGGCGCAGGAGTTGTGATCTGAATGAAGGAGCCTGAAGCCGTGGCTGCGAACATGCAGATCAATGCAATGGTCTTCATTTTTCTTGCCTAATCTCAGATGAGAGATCAAACTGCCTGTGAAATTGGATGTGATCGAAGGCACAGCGACGAGTGTATTCGAATGGGAGCTCGGATGCTGTTATACACCTCCTTTATGGGAGAGAAGGAGAGGAGAGGTTCAGGCGAGCAGACCCAGCGGCGGACCCTGCAGATTGGACTCATGGAGTCTTCTCGCTGGGAGACGGATAGCAGATTTCAGAACATCCAAGCTGAAGCTACCTTCGGTTTGTAGTCCCATAGAGTTTTAGAGACTCCTAATGATCTGCTTTCAGATTCGACCCTCGAGAACCACAAAGGCTAATTTCGATAGGTCATCGATATTCCGTGCAGAACCCAGAACGGTTTGCAGTCGTCGAATTTCTCCCCGGTATCCGCCGCGCCGCGTCTATCGACTGGTCTCGGCGGAGGCTTGGGGCCCTTCAGTGATCCGCTGTCTATCAGACTTTGAGGTGAAAATGAGAAATCATGTGGGAGTCATTCGTTAAAATGACCAATGACTGAATCCTGGAGAATCGGTATTGGTGAGAGAATTGGTATGCGATAGGCTCTTGAGGACATCTCCGGAAGAAACATATGACGTGATTCCGATAGCCTACCGTGGATGGTTCGTAGAAGCATTTGGGAGCGTGATCAGCTCGTTATTTTCACTCCTACAGTCGGATTGCGGCTCTCTATCGATATCCCGTGCAAGACCCAGAAAGGTTCCCAGTCGTCGAATTCCTCCCCGGTATCCGCCGGCGCCGCGCCTATAGACTGGTCCCAGCGGAGGCTCGGGGCACTTCAGTGAGAATTCCCAGTTCGTTCTGCACCGCAGATCCGCTGTCTATAAGACGTTGTAGTGAAAATGAGAAATCATGTGGGAGTCATCCGCTAAAAATGATTCAATTCTTTCTGTTTTCGCGAAGTATCATTCTAACGTGGTACATTGGGTACGATCACCCCAGACCGGGCAACCCGCCACCCGAAGGCATTCAGCCGTGGAATCCAGCGGCGTTCCCTCTCTGAACCTCTATTGACAATCGCTGAAGAAGGGACTCCGTGGCCCTCTTATCGCTCGACTCCGCCTCGATATTGCTAAAATGATCAATGACCGAATCCTGGAGAATGGGTATTGGTGAGGGATTCGGGACACAATGTTCTCTTGAAGACATCTCGGGTAGATGTGATAAGATTCCGATAGCCTACCGTGCATGGTCCGATAGAGCATTCGGGTAGCATACTCAGCCCGTTCTTTTGTTGGACCGGTTCTGTTTCATTTTGGTCAGTGGAGTTTGGGCGCTCGGAAAAAAGCGATGCCTGAGACTAGAAATAGGCTGCCGTGGGAGCACTAGACTGGGAGCGAAACTCCCGATCATCTGAAACCGTGACGAGGATTTCAAAAACGCTTCTTCTACGTTTGCGATGAAACTTTCAAACGGTGTGAGTCTTCGAATGATGCAGGCGCCGTCTTTCTGGGTCTGGTGATATCATCGGTACGCTACTTATCAGGATCAGACGTCGGATATCGCCGACGATTCGAGCCACGGTCCACGTTGAAGAGCTCTCGACCGTCTCATTAGGGGAGCTATCGCCAGCTTGGTGATGGCTATGAGCTGCACGGATCCGAAGGGCCATGATTGGGAACCGTTTGTATCAGATTTCGGCACGGGAGCGCTGACGAAACGCCAGATACCTTATAATGTTTTTCGAAGTTCTTCAGATGTCTCCAAAACGATCTCGTCCCGGGATCCCATCGTTGTTGTGCATTGGCGGTCGGAACGTGGAAATCGACAACATCTTGAGTCAGAACTCATGAGCTACGAGCATAGAGAGATCTTCCTCGTGACCGGGCCATGATTTCCGGTTATCAGAGCAGAAAGTATACTCTCCGCGCCAAGTCCTGTAGCTTTTGGAATTTTGGAAGAAGGAAGACTCCTGGCTGGACATCTGACGCAGCTGCGAGAGCTCAAGCGCCGATTGGCGTCGTGGACTCAAGTAGATGAGCAGAGGGAACGCGGAATCACGCATTGACTGAGCAGGGTTCTAGATTGGGTCGGCATTCGAACTCATCTGCTTATCGCTCTCTCGCCTCCGGTCAGTATCATTCTCCACAGTCGTCATCCTAATAACTGATAATGTACCCAGCTTGCGGGTCGGAGCCAAAGGACCTCCGTAAATACATAATGGAGCCGTGGGACATCCAATCCAATTTCCGATTCACCCGAATCTTTTCCTACTTCCCCTCCTCCCGCCTTCCAGAAGGTCGGTACCGAACAGTCAAATGGTTTTCGTCATCAGAAAAGCCGTTTCGTCCCTTGAAGCGCCGGTGAAGAGACTTCCGACAGGAGGTCGATACGATAACCTGTCGAAGTGATTCCCTGTGGGTCTCAGAGGAGGAGTCTGAATACAGATCATGCCACTTATTCTACCAGAATCATTTGACTGCATACTGGAGGCTCCTTGAGCTTAGAAGTTCTGAAATCAGGTTTCGCCCCCCAGACAGAGACTTCATGAGTTCATGGTGTGGGGTCCGCGGCTGGGTCTGCTCGTCTGAACCCTTCCTCTCCCATGCCTTTTGCCCCTGAAGGAGGTACATAACAGCAACCGAGCTCCCAATCGAGTACACTAGTCGCTCTGCCTTCGATCTCATCCGATTCCTCGCTATTTGATCTCAGATCTGAAATAAGACGGGAAAAATGAAGACCATTGCTTTGATCTGCATGTTCGCAGCCACGGCTTCAGGTTCCTTCATTCATATGACCACTCCTGCGCCTCTGACCACACCTCCACCGAACTACAGGAGAGGCCCTTCGATCATCCTCCAGAACACGAACAAAGTTGTCGACGAGCCTGCCCTCCCGGAAGCTGCAGGGCTCCCTCTCGTGCCTCCACCCGTGGCTTCTCTCTTGCCCCCTCCCGCCGTTCCCGTCGCACCAGCGCCAATCGCTCCTCTCGCTGTGGTTCTACCGCCAGTGGCTCCCGTGGTGGTGAAACAGCCCGTATTAGAAGACATTCAGATCGCAGGGGTTATACACTAATCCGCGATGAGCGACCGAACGAATAAAATAAGCTGAATCATTAAAAAACCAGCCGCCTTTTCCTCTCATGCTGTAAGTTCTCGTCAATGTACAAGACCCAACTTCTGCGAGTTCTCTACAATCGGAGGGGGCATCTGGATGGGCCCTGAGAACAGCCTTCGATGCGAATGGTGTTGATTGCAGACTCTCCCTAAGGAAACTTGCAGAATCGTACATCTATGGAGCGGAACCTCACTGGTGAGCTGGATCAGGCAGGAAATCATAATTTATGACTGATTCCGGGGCACTCGAACTTCTCTGGTATAAGGAACTGAATCTATGAAAAAATGTACTTCTCCTCAATTTTCGTCGGTGTAAACGGTCCCAGAGAGTCACGGTCTGTATGGTTCAGTCCTCAGAAAAGCTGGAAAGTCACAGTGATAGCGTCATGGACACTACCGTAATGGAGGCGTGAGAACGTCTTTCTGACCTCTTTTAAAGGGTGTATGGAGGTATTCAAGAGAGTATGATCGAACATAAAGAGAAAATTGTTCGTGTCGGGTTCGATACTCTCAGATAGTCCTTCTTCGCTCGAACTCATAGCTTCAATCTCTTGCAGTACAGAGTTGATGTCCGAATGAGCTTCGAATTACTTTCGTCTCTCTGCGATCATCAACTCGTTGGAACTGAAAATTTCTATAAACTTGTTTCGATCGATGATTTCCAGAAGCCCGGTACGGAATGAAATGTGTGGGGTGACCATCTCACGTTTATAATTCAGTTGTTCATCTCTGTAGTAATTCCTATAGCGTATGATTTCGCAATTTGGGGGTTGATCATGGCTTCGCCAGTGTCGGTGCCTCCACGCGGCAACCCCTGGGCAATGGTATGATGGGACCTAGTCCCATCATCCCAGCTAAATCCGACAGCCTTCGGGCGAAGAGTGGTAGACATCCTAAGTCGCCCGGTGAAATACCACCGTCCTATGCTATTGATGACCCAAAGTGGCATTGCCATGTTCGGTCACCAGGCTGGGGTATCCGGTTATCTTATCTTTTCTATGCCTTCTTTTCCGCTCAACCTTTATTTTTCTTACTATATTCTACTTCTTCGACTACTCTCCACCTTTCTCTCATTCTCTTCTCATCGCGTCCGCGGGGAGGGACGGCCGGCCCAGCCCATGGGCCCTCTATGACCATTGCAGTGGAAAGGGTACAGCAGTGAAACAGTTTCCGCGGGCTGACCGCCATATAGTACAGTGGCCCGAACCGGATAGTAACGCATCCGGAGGCTGCCACACCATGTGGTGTATAATCTCGATGGTCTCGTTCTGCCAGCTCGTGACTGGAGGGGAACCGAGCGGGATCATTCGGGAGGTACTGCCGAGGGTCCGCCACCTACGGTCTCGACGACGTCTCGCGGGCTGTCGTCGGTCGATTTTCCGCTCGAGGATTTGTCTCCCTCTTTTTTCAAAAATTCACCCTAAACCACCAAACCATGAACCAAAACAATCCAGCAAATACTCAACCTTCTGCGGCCTCCAAGATTTCCCCAACCCCCTGTTGCAATCTCTCCATTCATTTTAGCAACATCAGAGGCCTCCATTCTAACCTTGCCTCGGTCCACCAACATCTTGAGACCGAACGCCCTTCTTCCTTTCCTAACCGAAACACAAATCTCAAGCCCCCTCGACTCTACCCACCTTCGCTATCCGAGCTACGAATTACATGAAAACTTCCGCTTCAAAGGTGGAACGTGCGCTTTTGTCAGATCTGACCTTGTGTGCTGCCGCTTGCCCACATTCGAATCCTCCGCTTTCGATGCCCTCTGGCTAAAAACCTACTATCTCCGGCATCCAACAGTTCTCTGTTGTCTCTATAGATCCCCTAACCGACAATGATCACGTCTCTTTCTTCTCCTACCTCTCAAATAAAATCGACCTAATCAACACCACCTATCCAAACTCACAAATTATCTTACTCG